GATATCTTATAACTTAAGATTTCTTCAAGCTTAAGTTAACATTCTCCCCCTTAAGCTTGAAGTCTTCTTTTGACACATCTTGAATCCCAATGAGGTCTCTCATCTCCTTGAACTTGATTTTTCCAAGTGTCTTTGTTAAGATGTTGGCCTTTTGTGCATTTCCGAGAACATGTTCGACCTCCACTTGTTCATTCTCAACACACTCTCGTATAAAGTGATACCTCCTGTGTATATGCTTGTTTTGTCCATGAAACACCGAGTTCTTGGTGAGCGTTATTGCAGACTTGTTATCAACTCGAATCGTCACTTTTTCACATGATCTTCCAATGACTTCAGCAAGAAGTTCTTGAAGCCAAATTGCCTGTTTTGCCGCTTCGGTAGCTGCTATAAACTCAGCATCACACGACGATAGTGCTACGGTTTCTTAGTTCTGCAAACACCAAGTGATCAGACAATCATTGAGATAAAAATATGGACTGTCGTACTTATATCATCATCCATATCCACATTATGACTACTGTTACTATAACCCACTAGCTCTATTTTGTCCACACGTTTAAACATGAGACCATGTGATGAAGTTCCTTTCACATATCTTAGAATTTGTTTCAATGCTGCTCCATGAGACTCCTTTGGATCTTGCATGTATCTACTTAACACACCAACACAATAAGAGAGATCTGGCTGTGTGTGAAGCAAATATCGAAGGCACCCAACATATCTCCTATATTCTTTCTCATCAATACGTTTCTCTTTGTTTGCCTTAGATAACTTCAAACCTGAATCCATTGGTATGTGAACTGTGTTGCACTCCTCGATTCCAGCTTCACTCAAAATCTTAATTGCATATCTTTCTTATTTTAGCATGATACCTCCTTCATGCTCAAATACTTCAATGCCGAGATAGTACATCAGTTTTTCGAGATCACTCATCTCAAACTTAGCTGACATTCCTTGTTTGAACTCAAGTATAATACTTAAGCTCGAACCCATAACAAGTAAGTCATCTACATAAACAGCCACAAGAAGAAGATGGTCCTTGTCATGCTTTCGATACAACGATGGTTCATTTGAGCACTTAGTAAACTTCAATTGGTGAAGAATCTCATTCAGTTTGTTGTTTCATGTCCTCGACGCCTGTCTCAATCCATAGTGCTTTATTGAGTCTATAGACCTTTTCTTTACTTCCTTTGGTTACGAACCCTTCAGACTGTGTGACATAGACCACTTCTTTTAGCTCGCCATGCATAAGTGCTGTTTTTACATCAAGATGATGCATCTCCCAACCATTAAATGCCGCTAGAGCAATAATAAATCGAACTGTTTCAATGCCTGCTACTAGAGCAAATACCTCATTAAAGTCTATCCCATATCTTTGCACATAACCTTTTGCCACGAGCCTTACTTTGTACTTGTTGATGCATCCATCGGAATTACGTTTGAGTTTAAAAACCCATTTTAGACCGATTGGCTTAGCTCCTATAGGGAGATCAACTAGGCTCCATGTCTTGTTCTTCTCTGTGGATGATATCTCTTCTCCATATGCTTCTCTCCACTCTTTCGACTTTATTGCCTCATTAAAATTACATGATTCTTCATTAATCATCATCAGGAGGACGTTCGTTTTCGAGCTCGGCTAGTAAGACATAATCATTCAAATATTCTGGCATTGCTCTCTCTCTCTCTTGTGGATTTTCTTAGTGGAGGCTGGGATTCTGGCATTGTTCTTTTCTTGTGGACTTTCTTAGCGGAGATTGGGGCTGTTCTTGTGTCTCAACAGCCTCGTATTCAATGAGAGGAACAAACTCATCCTCTGCATCAACCTCATCTTCAACATATTCCTCTCCATTCTCCCCTGTTTCTCCAGCGTCATTAGTCCTATTTATGCTATGACCACCGACCTCTCTAAGATCAAATTTGAACGTTCCTGGTTCATTATCATCATCAGCTTCTCTCTCTAAATCGTTCCACCTCTTCCAGCTCTTTTTTTCATCAAACACTACATCCCTGCTTACCACTATCTTACGGCTCGACGGCTCTAACAACCGATAGGCTTTTGATCCTGGTTCTGTTCTCAGATGTATCAAGGCTCGTGATCTGTCATCCAGCTTCTTCAGATGTGGAGTCGTTACCTTGGCATAGCTAATGCACCCAAACACACATAAATGTTCAACATTTGGTTTCCTTTTCTTAAAGACTTCATATGGTGTTTGCGATACTAAGGTTCTCGTTGTGACTCTGTTTATGAGATATGTTGCATGCCTTACTGCTTCTCCCCATAGATAATTTGGCACACTCATATGCTTCATGATACTCCTTGTCATCTCCATCAATGTCCTGTTTCGTCTTTCAGCTATTCCATTTTGTTGTGGAGAGTAAGGTGCGGTTAGGTGTCTTTTGATGCCAGAATTGTCACAGAAATTATCAAATTTATGGGACACAAAATTCTCCACCCCTATCTGTTCGAAAGGTCTTGATGCTCATTCCTGTTTCTCGCTCAACTAGAGCCTTAAACCTCTTGAATTTATCAATTGCCTCATTCTTTTCTTTCAAGAGAAGAGACCACATGTAGCAAGAATGATCATCAATTAGCACAAATATGTATCTGTTTTGTGCAGCCGTGACAGGTGTAATGGGTCTACAAAGATCTTCATGTATAAGCTCAAGTACTTGTGTGGCACGATATGAGGTTGCTTGAGGAAAGACTCGCCTTACTTGCTTTCCAAGCAAACATGAAGAACACATTTCTTTCTCTACCGAAATACTTGGTATGCCAGTGACTAACTCCTTCTTTATCATTGTTTTCATGTTCTCGAAACCAGTATGCCATAGTCTCGCATGTCACCTTGTTGAATCACTTAATGCCATGAGTTGTAGACACCTGCTGTTTTCAGCTTCCATGGTTACCTTGTATAATCGATTGTTTGACCTGTTTGCTCTCGTTAGCAGGTTTCCATTTCGATTGTATAGCGTCAGGTAATCATTTCTCATTCTTACATCACCGTTGCTTGCCCAAGACTTATAATATTGCTTTTTAAGTCTGGTATAAAATAAACGTCAGCTAAGATCTTTCGTTCCTTACAAACAAAATTGATCCTTTCCCTTTTATGTATATACGTGTATCATCTCCAAACTTTACTTTTCCCGTGATTGTCGTGTCAATCTTAGAGAAGTAAGCACGATTTCCAGACATGTGACCGTTGTCCAAATACCAAACATTATCACCGTGTGTCTCAAACTCGCTTGGCTTCACATTCCTCTCATTAAGATACACCACCTCGTGCATCAACAAATTATCAGCCTCTTGAGTGTCATCGTCTCCATTCTCTTGTGTTTCTTGGAGCTTAAGCAATATATCTGGACAATTGGATGCATAATGACCTGTCTTATCACATCGATAGCACACAACTTTGGACTTTTTCCTCTCTTGTCTATTTCCACCGGCTTGTTCATTACCGTAGCGACCTCGTCCTCTTCCACGTCCATAGAATCACGCACCTTGACCTCTTCCTCTTCCTCCAGTATCGTTATCTTGGTAAGATGATGAATCCGAGTTGGCATACATAAGCTTTCCTTGATCATCCTCCTGATCTTCTTCTTCATAGATTCTCTCCTCATACGCTTTTAACCTCCCAACAATGTCTTTAAAGCTTGCTGTTTTAAGATCAAGGACTAGTTCAAGCGCCGCAACAATATATATGTATTTCTTTCGTGGTAGACTCTTAAAGAACTTCTTAACAAGCTTTCCTCAATGTTTTCTCCCAAAGCTGTTGCTTTTGTGGATAATTCCGAGAGTTTTACCAGCAAAATCGTCGATCTTGTCGGTTTCTTTCATCTTCATCTTATCAAACTCAGCCATCAGAGTTTGTAGTCTCGCCTCCTTTACCCTAGCCTCCTTTACCCTATCAGCTCCTACATGTTTTGCCTTAATAGCTTCCCAAACTGCTTTTGAGCTCTCCAGGTTTCCAACTTGTAAGATCAGTGATTCCAGTATGGATTGGAAAAGTAGAGCTTTAGCCATATCGTTTTTGTCTCCGTCATCTGCACCTGTCTCTATGGTTTCCCACACCTTCTGTACCTTGAGTGCTACCTTCATTTGCATGGACCAAACTTGTAGTTGGTGACATTAAGCATCAAACATTGTATAGACGAGGGGCCATTCTCCTTTGGTTTGTTGGTTGCTTGAACAATATCACCCATGTTTTGACTTCACAAAAAGACTTCTCTCCCTTGGTGTTGTCCTCTCCATGATTTGATCAAGCTTTTGACGTAGCTTCTTCGAGTGCTCTGTTTCATGAACGAGTTTCACCTTCACGTTCGAACACCTAGGGTGTTTATTTCAATAAAAGCTCTGATACCAAATATTGAAATAAACGCTTTAGATCAAGAACAAAACACACTTTATTGCTTTAGAAAACTGACTCAAAAACTAAAGCTTTCTTAATCTCTCTCGTAAGTTATGCCACATGTTGGCATCTCTTTATATATATAGAGAGAACTCTAGCTTATTTCCTAATACTAAAAGCTTAAGCTTATAGCTTAGGATATTAGGATATCTTATAGCTTAAGCTTTCTTCAAGCTTAAGTCAACATCATCTTGAAACTTGCGTATCAAGGCTTCCATAAGGAATGAAATGCATGTCTTCGCTCCTCTCGTCTCGGCTGGCTTTCTTCATCATAGCTGAGATTCAATAAACAATCCAAAACTGTATGAATCCTCTCTCAAGAATTCTAAGGAACCTCAAAGGAATACTCGATCGTAAGCCAATTTTTGAGGTGTTTTTTAAAATTTTAATTTTGAGTGTCAAAATATCAGTGGAAAATAAAATAGATATCTGAAATATTCCCACAACCAAGTCAGAGGTGTTTACCGCAGCGTTTACCATACAACAAACGCGGCGAAGACACTATTTGTTGGTCTTTCAATAATAAAAATAAAACCAATGTACTTAATTAAATAACTATTGTTAATTCATCGTCTAAACATATACAGATAAGAGGACGTGGTAAGGCATGTTAGACCTCCTTAATCCTTCTTTTTAATCATCACGTCTAAGTCTTCATCTTCTTCTTAAAGCTGACTAGAAGAAAACTTAGTTGTATCTTTTTCATTTCGACGTATATATGTACTATATCTGTGAATATGGAGAACAACAAAGAGGTGAAGAACATAGCCGATCATCAAGAGCAACATCCTGTCGAAGCTCCTCCGCCCCAAGGTTATTCAACAAAATAATACTAATTTTGTTTAGCTTTTGAGTCTTGAGTTTATCTTCTTCCTCTCTCTTAAAACTCATTGTTGGTTTTTATTTTTTTCTTTTAAGAATATCCTCCTAACAAGAAGTACCCTATAGCTGATAACCCGCTGCAACCACCAGAATCACAGCGGATACCAGTAGAGGGAATAGAAGAAGAGAAGAAAACAAGCTCAGAAATGGACCTAGCTTCGGGCGAGAAGCCCGAAGAATGGTGCTGGTGCGTTGATCCTATTTGTCTCTTCTGTTTTTTTTTTGGTCCCATTCTTTTTCTATGTTTATTTTTTCTTATATGCTAAATTTAATATGTCTCCTCTGTTTATAAACATAACAGCTGTTGTTGTACCTATGATTGTTTACGAGAATCGGTGCGTTGATCACATCCCTCTCCATCTTTTTAGGTCTTTTATTTTTCTCTTATTCCAGAATTAATATGTCACTCTGTTTATAATTTATCACAGCGAATGGTGTCATGCTTTGATTATTGCGACAAACAATAGTAAGTCTCTCTCTCTTTTGTTTTTCTCTAGTCTCTTAATTTTGTTCTTTGTCCACAGTTAATATTTCTCCATGTTTATAAACATCGCAGTGAAAGATGTTGCCGCAGTACACCATGTTTCTTTATCTGCATGTGCATGGTGGTAGTCATCTGTATTTGCATGGATTGCTGTCGCTGTCGTCTCTAGCTATAAGTAATGAAATTTATGCAAAAAAAAAAAGAATTCTCTTGTTCAAGTTTTTGTGTATGCTCGTATCTTGTTTCGCGACGAGTAATGACTTTATATCTGGGTAACTTATGATTTATTGTGATTAATTAACTGATTTAATTGAGTAATTAACAAAAAGCTTATGGATTATTGGCTGTAATTAATACGAGCACCCAAAAACTTGTAAATTTGAAATCAACTAAACTTAATATTTGACCTAAACTCAATCTATTATATAAAAGCAACTCTCAATCTATTATATAAAAGCAACTCCATCGGTTGAGATACTTATTTTGATTTTGTGTTTTCATATAATTTAATTTTAATAAATGAAAAAAACTTGAACCAATCATAAGTATTGAAAAGTTGAGATACTTATTTCAACATCTCTCTTACTTTTGCTTTTTTAATATTATAAATGATAGAACTGCTCTAAGGACTGAATTAAGTCTCACAAGAGCCCCACACATCAACATCTCTCTACCTGACACTTATACCAAATAAATTATCAAAAAAAAAACTAGTATCATAATTTAATGTCATAGTGAATAAGAGTTTGAATCCTCGCAAATCCAAATCCGTCTGAATCCTCTCTCAAGAGTTTTAAGGAAGCTCAAAGGAATACTCGTAAGTCAATTTTTGAGGTGTTTTTTTTTTATTTTTATTTTGAGCGTCAAATATCATTGGAAAATAACACACAAAAAGCTATGAAATATTCCCACACGTTTACTAGAAGTGCAAGAGATTAGCCACCCGAGTCAGAGGTGTGTTCCCGCAACCTTTACCATACAACAAACGCGGCGAAGACACTATTTTTTGGTCTTTAACTTAATAAAAACAAAATTAATGTACTTAATTAAATAACTATTGTTACTTCATAGTCTAATCATATACAGTCATACAGATAAGAGAACATGGTAAGTCATGTTAGACTTCCTTAATCCTTCTTTTTCAATTATCACGTCTACGTCTTCCTCTTATTCTTGAAGCTGACTAGAAGAAAAAATAGTAACACTACAAAAAAGTGGATATTGTTACAAATATTTTTGTCACAATATGTAATTTTTCCGTCACAAAAATTATATTGTAACGGTAATATTACAAATTATTAAAGATCACAATAAAAACGTCACAAAGCCATTTTAGTCATAAAAACGTCATAACATAATGTGACGATTAACAATAGTAACGACGTGCCACCATTTGTAATGATATTAAAACAGTCACAAACGATACAGTTTATGACAAAAAAAACTATCACAATTAGATCACAAGCTGTGACAAAAAATTGTCACATATTTATAATAAATTCTTACTATATTTACGTCACTAATCCGCTATAAATTATGACAAACAATAATATCACAAAATTTGTTATAACTAGTTACTAAATTATAATCACAAAAACACAAATTAGTGACCACAATACTGTTACAAACCCGTCACATTTAGTAACTACAATATAACCACATAATTGTTATAAATTTTTTTTTATTGTAACTATTTTTTTTACTAAAATCGATACAAAATATTTAGACCAAATATTTTTTGTTACTTCAATTCACATTTTTTAAATTAGATAATTAATTAATAAAACAGTAAAACTAAAATATAATAAACCAAACATTATATTACTTATGTCGAAGCAAAGTCAATACACAAACAGAATTTATAAAAAAATAAAGTCTTAATAAAATAAAAACTAAACATTACTTAAGATAAAAAGAAACTAGAATTACTAAATTAGATAGATGATGGACGATGGATGGTTTTAGTAGCTTTAAGCATTCTGATTTGCAAAAGACTCAGCCATCTTCTCCATAGCTTCAAGTCTTTTTTTAATTTCCAGATTTTCTTCATGATTTTGTTTGACTTCAGCTTCCAACTCTTGGAGCCGATTTGCAATCATCTCTGCTTCTTCTGGTTGTGGTTGACTTGAAGAAGCAATAGCAGATGGTACAACAAATTCCTTTAGAGCTCCCAGTCCAAAGACATAGCCTTGTTTAGATGACCCAGCAGCCTAGACAAAATACCAAAAATTGAGTAAAGTCATTAGCTACGTATATGAGCAAGCTACGTATGTTGACAATGATAACTTAAAAAAAAAAAAAAAAAAAACAAACCAGAATCTACTTATACGTGACAACGATAACTTTAACAAAAAAAACAAACCAGAATCTATTTATACATGACAATGATAACTTCAACAAAAAAACCAAACCAGAATCTATCTGCTACATTGTATGAAGACTAATAAAAAACGAAGATCAGATCAACTCATAATAGGTTCCTATCAATAACAAAACTACTTGCAAACATTTGATAAGAAAATCGTAAAGCACTATAAAATTCTGAAATATTACCTTAATATAAATTTCATTTTTCTCACGTTGGTCAAGATTTTCAGCCGTCACATTCCCTTCACCAGAAGATTCAAGCTGTTCCAAGTGTTCTTGTAGATGCTTCTCATAAGTTTCTGCAACCACTCTAGCTCGTTGATCAACATATGTTCCGTCAGGTATGTTCCGTCAGGCTTCTGATTTGCTTTCTTCATCACAGCAATGTAAGAGTGGTCTTCATTGTTTGCTTCCTGTAAACAAAACAATAAAACAAAGTGATGCAATACAATAAACTTCACTATTTATCAGCGACGAAAAAAAAATGTACCAAAACATCTTGAACTTTGGCATATGAACGTGAACCGGATATGTGAGAATGAGGGCCTAAACCATTGTGAGAAGCTCGGGCCTTCTCACTCTTTCCTTTTGCTTTTGGTGTTGCCCAATACAATTGCATAGCGGTCCAATCATCAAACAAAATCCACTCCGGTTTTTCTACTTGTTTCTTTACATGGCTTATCATTCCTAGGAGAGGATAAGCAGCAAGCTTATTAAACTCACTTTCAACTTGATTGTTGATAGTAGGATGCCAATTAAATTTTTTCTGAAAAAGTAAGAATATCAAACATCAAGAATATCATCGAGGCAACATTCCAGGTAGTGTCACTACATAAGCACTAGCGTTTTCATTTCAGTCACGATTATAAAGATCTGTCTAATCACAATTCAGAGCTAAAAAGACTTCAGCCATCAAAACAGAGACTTAATTTTAAAACAGGCTTCATTGATTCAGCTACCAGAAACTACTTGAACATATATATATATATATATATATATATATCCAGCACTAAAACTGACCACATTACTCCTACGGGATACAAGTAAGCTGGGGAACAAAGATTACCTTGAACAGACTAAACCATGTTTGTTTGTAGAAAACTGGCACTCTTTTCCAAGAGTACCATGGTCCTTTGAAACAACTTTGAATGATCTTTCTCACAGCAGTTGATACTTGGGTGTGGTGGTTAAACCTGTTTCATTAAAATAAATAACTTAATGAGTTCTAAATCTCTGAAAATAATCAATGGTATATAGGAAAAATTCTATACCATTTAGCTCCATTTTGTCGACCAGGATGCAGCAAGGGCAAAGTTGTACGATCCACATGTGGCTCTTCCATATCTACACTATGAATACAGATGATAATTGAACTCTGTATTGAATATCAATAAAGCAAACAACACGGATTGAAGAGAGGAATACGATTAAAAAAGGAATACAAATTCAACTATAGATTAACTTCTACAAACGCAGAATTATGTACGATTACCTTCCAATGAGATCTCTGAAATGAAAGACAAACTAATCGCTTCTAATAAAAGACAAGTGACGAAAGAACGGTTTTGATAGGGAGTGGGAAGATGGTTAAATAATTTTGACACTTTTTCAGGGTTTCAATGAGTGGGGGAAATTTTGGCAAAAATTAAAGCGGTTAATGAAATTTTAAGGCTCCTTACGAAAATTTATGGCGGTACATAAAAAAGGTAACATTTTGGTAAATTATTATATTAAATTAATAAAAATACGTTGACTTTTTCATGAAACAGGTTTAAATACGTTAACATACCGAAGTGCAATAGTTCCAGGACGGTAATGAAGGGGCTTCTAGCCTCCAACAGTGGTTGGGGCAGACTTACGTGTAGCCTAAAATTGAAACAAGCAATCATAAAAAAAATCCAACAATGAGGCAAATAAATTACACAGATCAAAATAGTGGAGACTTACCTTAGTAGCAAGCTGCGTCCTAGGGGCCTTTCCTTCTAGTAGACTTGCGAGCTGTTTGCCTGGTGCGGGCCATCTGATCAGTAGCAAACAAATTAGAATGATGATATCCAGCAAGTTGCCATCATTGATTAAATCGCCGTGTTCTGATTTTCTAGTTTCTCTGACCAATTCACGAGCCCCTGAGAAACGAAAGATCACACTCACTTCATCTAGAAACAAATGGAAACAAACAAAAACGAGTCTAAGATAATTTTCATAGTCAACGCAGAGAGCTTCTTAGTTACCGCAATAGCAACCAGCAACAATACCGAAATTAGTAGCATAAGTAACGGGTATATTGTTATGGGCTTTCCTATGTTTTGACAGTAATCCAGCTCCTCCTCCTGCATTCGATAAACCCAAAATCTCAGATCATTCTGATGCTAAATTGACATCCCTCTATGATCCCGAAATCCCCAAGAAATATAAGAGTCAAGCCAATGCAGAAGTTACAATCCTCTAAAACCCTCAGAGGATAGCATAAAACTGAGAGACTAATCCAAAAATCTCAAGATCATCTGATGCTAAATTTCTTGCACTTTCCATCACTCACGGTGCCTAAACCTCTAACCAAATAGAAAAAGTCAAGCCAATGCAGAAGTTACTGTCCACTAAAACCTTCAAAATATGGCATCTAGGTGAGATTCCAATCCAAAAATCTCAGATCATTCAAATGCTAAATGTCGTTTACTTTTCCATCACTTTATAATCCCCAAAAGCAATATAAAAGTCAAGCCGATGCAGAATGTATTCTAATAGTCTAAACCCCTTAAAAGATAGCATACCTTAAGACAGAAATGGTTTGAGAGAAGTGACAACATCAACAAGCGAAGGGTCCAATCCAATTCGACGGTAGATTCAGAACCCCAAGAATCTCGATTTAATCGAGATCAGAAGAAAAGTCGAGAAGGATCAGTAGAGCCGAAAAAAATAATCCTCGGGAAGAGCAGGTGACGAGGCGGTGGTCGTCGTCGTCGATGGGGTCCGGATTGGGTAACTTGGCGACGGAAACGATCGGTGGCGGGGGAGAGCAGGTGACGAGGCGGTGGTCGTCGTCGATGAGGAAATTCCTGTCGGCATCGTTGGTATCGGAGTGACGATGAGCTGTCTGATTTATAATTGATATAGATGTCTATATGTTAGATAAGTTTGTTAACTATGCTGTACACAACAAAATAATTGCATTATCTTAGTGGTAATGGCGACTGTCTGATTAGGAAGAGGAATGCATTTCGATTATTTGAGTCAACATATATACATTTTTTTTTTTTTGGTAAAGCGCCCAATTTGTTTCCTGATTGCCAAATATCAACTTTAATTTTAATTTATTTTTCATTAACTTTTAAGTAGATAATTAAAAAACATATTATAAATTATAATAACTTACATTAAAAAAGAATAGGAAAATAAATTTTAAACACAGCGATCATGCTTTCTTGAATTCCTTGATCCGGATGAATTCTTGCAACTTCGTCAATAAACATTATTTTGTTTAGATCGAATTCATGTTTAATATCTTTCTTAGAAACAAATTCATCTGTGGGGTGAAACTCTCCTCCATCTTCATAAATCGTTTTGTTTAAATCAAAATCATGTTCAATTTTTTTCTTTTGCTTTATCTCTTGAATAACTTGTATTTCTTCTGCTTTTTGATCCTTTTGCATTTTGATCAGTTCTGATTTTTTCCTATAAACAAGAACAAAAAAAATTATAAATCAAATATAAAACTATTTACATCAATTATAACTTAAAGAACAAGATTATAATTTTCTTAAAACATTTTTAAATAAATATTTATTATTATAAAAATATTAAAAATGGATCACAGATAAAAAAGGTTTTCAATTATAAAAAAGAACTGATTTTTTTTTAACATATAAACACATACATACCGTTTAATAAAAAATATAACCACCTAATCTAACACATTCTACAACCTGAAATTTAGAAATTAATCAAACATAAACATATATTCAATACATGACATAAAAAAAAACTTACAAGTTTTGGGATTTGAAGAGGTAATGGAGAAGAATATATGCAAAGTAATTTAGAAAGAAAAACTGAGAGAATAAAATGAAAGAAACAAATAAAGTGAAATAAATATCTAAATCTAAAGTCTATTTATATAGATGAGAGTAAGCTAAAAAAAGTAAAACTCATTCATGTTAGTTCCAGCAATCAAGGAAGATCTATTCAATCCTTTACTTAATCAACAAAGGAAAAGAACGTGTGATATAGCATATTCATTCAATCCTTTCATCAACAAAGATTTATTATAGAAAATAAAAATAAGAAGAAAAAGAATATTGGGAGAATGATAATATTGTGACGATAATGATATATTTGGGTAGATTAATCAAACTTACATCCGAAAGAGTTGCTCTTATAAGATACCATAAGCCGCACACAAAAAATCAGTACCCGCGAGAACTAAGTAAAACTGTTCTTATGTGTTGACCAAATTATTAGCCGCATACTCCCTTATCAACTGAGATTTTCTTCTAGCGCTTAGACTGACCAGCAATGCCATCATCAATGGCTTGAAAGATACCAAGTGCACCACGGAAAGCTTGATAAACCGCAGAAGATGACACTTAGTTTTATCTGTTGCTGGACATTGATCTCTGTTATGTGCGGTAGCCGTCTTTTTTCCCTTAGAAGTTTTCTTATTAGAACCAAATGTCACAGCCTTTTTTGACTGAGAGTTAAACTTGAGTGGCGTTTCAAATGCATCTCCATCTATTAGAGGAACAGGTTTCTCTTCATCTTTTCTCTTGATCTTCTTCTTCTTCTTTGTGTTGTGTGTGAACCGATTGGGTTGCTACCTTATTACATAAAAACTTTGTTGATTTATATGTGGTGGTGCGTATCCTTCAACGCCTTGCGCGGGACCTGTGGTCAGATGTGGGTTCTCATCCTAGACAAGTACGTTACTCTTAGTTCACAAGCTAAACCAAATCAAAACACTTAAACCAAAATTGATTTAAATTGTGTAAGCAACACACTAAAATTAAACCGAAACCCAGCATTAAACCAATATTCACGACCCAAAATCAATACTGCAGACTCATTTAATTATTATTTTTTTACCATCGAAAGAGAATTGATCGAAAGAGAATTGATGATCTTATTTCTGTTGCGTGAAACAGCTTATGACCTGAAGAATTTGTGATCAGCTTCACCTTGGTAGCTGCATTCTTCTTCTTTTTTTTAGCTGTATTCGTTTTTCCTGAAATTCCTTGTTTGAATTTGTTTTTTATATGCAGTTGATTTTGGTTTAGATTTCATCAAATAACCCGGATTTGGCCTTCGTCAAATTTGACACCACCTTACTTCTGAAGCTCCAACAGTGGAGAGAACCTCAGATTACATAATCGCATTAGGTAAACCTTTGAAACATCATGCTTCAACAAAATTCCTTTTTCTGATTGTGTTTTTATTCCTATCAAACACCGTGCCTCACACACACAATTATCCTTTTAAAACTTGCGATTGACACCAATTAATACCCTAGTATAGATACTGACAGGCGAAAGTCTCTTGAAGGAAGTCTATGGTTTACCAAAAACAGTTGAATGTGGGGGGAATCATGGAAAATCACAAGGCTATGGTAGCACTCATAACTGGCATAAACGGAGCATTTTTTGGGAACTGCCATATTGGAAAGATCATAAACTTCGACACAATCTTGATGTGATGCATATCGAAAAAAACTTTTTCGATAATATCATCAACACTTTACTGAATGTGAAGGAGAAAACAAAAGACAACATCAAATCACGACTTGATTTGCAAGAGCATTGTAATCGCAAAGAGTTGCACTTAATGACTGATGGAAAGGCACCAATCCCAATTTTTAGACTACAAGCTGATGCAAAAACAGTTTTTCTACAATGGCTAGCAAAGGATGTTAAATTTGCAGATGGATATTCATCAAGTTTATCTAACTGTGTTGATCTAGCAGGAGGAAAGTTAACCGGAATGAAAAGTCATGACTGCCATGTTTTAATGCAACGATTACTTCCGGTTGCATTTGCTGAGCTTATGGATAAATCTGTATATAATGCACTATCTAGTAAGTATTCAACTTTCTTTATATTACCACCTCTGCATTTTTCTGTTTTTAGTTAAAATAATAAGATCTTGATATTCTTTCTCTACGTAAATGGTCACTTATGCTTCTCATGTTTGATGCTTTTTGATGGTCTTGTTTTAAGATAGATAGTTCTTCTAAATAATTAGTATTTTTAGTGTAAGTTTCAATTAGTTAGAAAAACTATCAAGGTTTGTGGTTTCATTACGGAATATATACTGTACGATCTATTAGAGTTTGCTGTCCATGTGATTGCTTTTTGAATTATAATTGACTTGCATATTTACATTGTTAAATTAAATTCACGTGATGATGCTCTGTTTTTCTTTACTTTTTACAGAGTTTACTCTGTTTTGAGGGCTTGTTAGCCGTGTACAATGCCTATTGATATCACTCATTGGATTTGATTTCTTTCTCTTTATACAAATAAACCAGCGTTAAAAAAAATTAAATTATATAATCTAAGGTTTATGTTTATGTTTCCTGCAACTGAATAATCTAAGGTTTATGTTTATGTTTATGTGATATACTAGTTTTATGTGAATGCTATTTATAGATGATTTGTTTGACTATAAACCTAAATTATATAATCTAAGGTTTATGTTTATGTTTATGTGATATACTAGTTTTATGTGAATGCTATTTATAGATGATTTGTTTGACTATAAACCTAAATTATATAATCTAAGGTTTATGTTTATGTTTCCTGCAACTGAATAGTCGAACCTCTGTTACACAATCTTACCGATTGTTTGTTGGTGGATATTAAATTTTGAAATTATAAACTGTTTATTGGTTACATTATCACAGATACATGTTTTGTTTTATTTTATGTGAAGGCGATTTATACAGTTTGACCATAAAGCCAAGATTATACAATTTTAAGTCTATCTTATGATTGAAACTTGTCATTCATGTAACAATATCTTTTTTTTTGTAGGTGTTAGCTTATTTTTTTGGGATATATGTGCAAGAACTTTACACGAAGATGGTGTTGCGATGTTGCATAAGAATATCTGCATGGTTCTTTGTAACCTAGAGAAAATATTTTCTCCTTCATTTTTTGATGTCATGGAGCATTTGCCAATTCACTTGCCACACGAAGCTCACCTTGAAGGGCCTGTACAATTTAGATGGATGTATCATTTTGAACGATACATGGGACATCTGAAGAAAAAGGTTAAAAATAAGGCAAAGGTGGAAGGTTCAATTGTTGAACAATACATCAATGAAGAAATTTCTACTTTCTGCAGTTACTACTTTGAGCCACACATCAAGACAAAAAGTCGAAGAGGAGATCGACACTATGATGGAGGTAATCAAGAAGATACACATGAGTTTGATGAAATTCCAGATATATTTTCTCAACCAGGAAGGGGCAGTGGTAAAGAAAAGGAGATATGGTTCAAAGATAAAGATCTTTCTATCGCACATACATATATTTTGCGGAACTGCGATCAATTAAGACCATTTGAAAGGTATGAAAAAATAATATGCACATATATACTTTAATTTATATTTTAATATAGTGAGTATAAAACAATGTATTTATTTCCTGTGAGGTTTTATATATAGGTTATTCGATGAGAGCAGACTTGCGGCTAATCCCGAGATAAGCGAAAACAATCTAGTTGAGCTTAGAGAAAAGGAATATTCAAGCTGGCTACAAAAATATGTAAGATTTATTTTTGTTTTAAAAATAATCTTTTGATAAATTTTTGGTAAACTTATATTATGATATGGATTTTTAAAAACAGGTGAAAGATACATGGAAGGATAATTCATATCCAAAATGGTTGCGAACTCTAGTTCATGGTCCAATGATTCAGGTTACTTCTTTGCCAATGTATTTTTGTTTTGGATATGTATTTCATACATATGATTCATATACAAAGTGGTTACTGACTCTAGTTCATGGTTCAATGATTCAGGTTACTTCTTGGCCAATGTATTTTTGTCGTGGTTATGTATTTCATACATATGATCATGGGAAAGACAAAAAGAATGCCAACTATGGAGTTTGTGTCAAAGGTACAACATCTTCTGGTTCAAGTGAAGAACCTGCTTTTTATGGATTACTGAGAGAGATTTTTGAGCTTCATTATCCTGGACCAGTTGATCTTAAATTTGTGGCTTCAAATGTGATTGGTATAATTCAGCCATTGGGAAAGGCATAAGGATAAACAAGTCAGGAGTTGTCGATATTAATGCCAAAGGACGTTATGAAAAATACGATCCTTTTGTTTTGGCTTTACAAGCAGATCAAGTATGCTATGTTCCATATCCACGGATCACTCAGCCAAAAAAAGATCAACACTAGAAAGCAGCAATTATGATACAATCGAGGGGGAAAGTATTGGTCAACCGAAATTCAGACATCACTGCAATGCAACATGAAAGTGATGATTCTATTGTTCAAGATGATTCGTTGAATGTTGAGACACTAACATATCTACAAGGCGAAGCAGAAGATCTTGATGATCCAGAAGTAGTAGCAGAAATTGGATCAGACGTTGAAGATGGAAATTCTGATATCGAATTATCTAGTGATGAATCTGAATAATTTTTGTACACTTATTTATGTCATTTTCTATCTAGACATGCTGCGAAAGCGTTTTATGTTGATTTTCTTTAGTGGTGCTTTGCCTTTTTTTATCGATTTTCGATTTTTGATTTTCTTGCATTTTCCTACAGTATGGAAGACTCTCAGTTTATTGATTTTCCTGCATTTTCCTGCATTTTCATCGTTGAAATCTCTGGGTTGATGTTTCTTCTCTAGGCTCTGTTAAAGGCCCTTGGTGACCGTAAAGGGATTATACATGTTTGGTGACTTCACATACGAGTGAAACATTGTTGGTGTTTGGATGTTTCTGTGATACGGCCACATCTTACCTAATTATTTCACATACGAGTGACCCATTACATATGCAACACCTGCCTCTTTGGCCCCTATCAGATCCATCAGCTCTTCCCTCACAGAGGGCTCCATTCCACGACTTGGAGTTAACCTGAACCTCACACGCCTCCTCCTCACTTTCCCTTACGGATACTCATCCTCGTACACTGAACGCAAGCTCTGCAAGGTCGTGGATTTACTGCTTTGTATCGTTGGGTCAGCAAAATCATCCTCTGAAACCGTCATGATCGAGTTGGTGAGACTCTTCTGGCTACTTAACACCGCCATTCTCCCATCGTAAGATTGACGCTCCGAAGCCGAGGACTGAAGGTCGCTTGCTTCCATCTGGATGAACTCTGCTATGCTCTGTATCAGCTGATTCTCAAAGTCCCCGTCCTCCCGTTGAATGTCCTTGTACCCATACCTCACTATGCACCTGTACATACGGTAAGGCTTTGGGCAAACACGGCCAATGAGGAAGCGTTCCTCAGGGATAACATGAGGCACTGGAACTGATTTCACACAAACAAACACCACAACTTTATGAAATGTCGGGATGTTGGTGATAAAGTGAGAGAAAATTGCAGGAACTCCAGTTTTAAAAAAGTTTCAAATTCTTGTCAACTTACCCTTTGGATGCCTTTGAATATGGTTGCTCAATACTGATTTGATAATCGTTTGTTTACAACAGCTTGCTGGTGAAAACTCTCATCATATTATAGATGAAGAGTGTTTTTGTATTTCTGCATTTGACTATCTCTTTTGCCATTAATATGTATCAAACTCAGAAACTTACTGCAACCTGAAAGGGAGGATTCTGTAATTTTTTGCTAGAGAAATCAATGTTCTGTTTGTATTGTAGAAGAAGAAGATACGTTGTTCATCTGATCCAGTAGTGACATGTAATGTGTAAATACATTATACATCCACTCTTATTCGAAGTTCCTTTTTTGTGTCCTCTTAGTCTTTTCTTTTTCATTTAGGAGATGGTGATATTTTGTAAAAGAGAGTGTATGAGGTGAAAAGAGTTTAATGTATGTGATGCTTCGTATTTTCTGAATAAAAATGCAAAAGTTTTATTTTTACATATGTAACTACAATATTTGACTATTTGAAATTTTTTCTAGTTATTATATACTTTCGGGTTATTTTTAGAATTTTTTAAAAATTTATATATATAATTTTAATCTTTATCACAAAATATTAACAATTATGTTATAATATGTGACAAAAAGTTTAGGTAAGTAAAAAAGTGACTAATTGTGATGCTGTACTTACAAAATATTTGTAACTGTGAGTGACATAAGTTTGTCACAAAAATCATATAATTTAGTTATTAAATTTGGTCACAAATCCGTAAAAATATTTATTACTATATATTTTTGTAACAATTATGGCACGATTAATTATAAAAAATGGTTATTTTTAATTTAGTCATAATATTATGACAAAATAATAACAATTTTATGACTAACTAATTTTGTCACAATTTCGTATGTAAATCATTATAATATTGTGACAAAACAATTAGTTATAGTTTGTTTGTAACAATATTAATTTTTTTTGTAGTGTAAGTCTTTGTGTCCTTTTGGTTTCGACGTTTAAGTGATCGGATATCTCCGTATATCTGCGAATATGGAGAACAACAAAGAGGTAAAAAACATAGCTGATCATCAAGAACAACATCCTCATCCCCAATGTTATTTAACAAAACATATTACTTTTTGTTTAGCTTTCAGTCTTGAGTTTATCTTCTTCCTTTCTCTTAAAACTGAGTGTTGAGTTTTTTATTATTTTAAGGGTCTCCTTCTAACAAAAAGTACCCTGTAGCTGATAACTCGTTGCAACCGCCAGAGTTACAGCGGTTACCAGACGAGAGAAGAGGAGAAGAGAAGAAAACAAGCGTAGTAATGGACCAAGATTCGGGCGAAAAGCCCGAAGAATAGTGCGTTGATCATATCCATCTCTCACCTTTTTTGTTTATTTCGTTTGTTTTCTGATCTTCTTATAATCCAAAATTTATATGTCTCTTTGTTTATAAACATAACAGCTGTTGTTGTGCCCATGGTTGTTTACGAGGATTGGTACGTTGATCCCATCTCTCTATCTCTCTCTCTCCATCCTTTTTGGTCTTTGGTCTTTTATTTTCTCTTATTCCAAAATTGATATTTTCACTCTGTTTATAATTTATCACAGCAAATAATAGACTCATGCGGCGAATGGTGCACCAAACAATGGTAATTAAGTCATTTTCAAAAAAAAAAAAACAATGGTAATTAAGTCTCTTTTTTTTCTCTTAGTTTTGTTTCTTTGTCCACAGTTAATATTTCTCCCTGTTTATAAATAACGCAGTGGGAGATGTTGCCACAGTACACCATGTGTCGGAACCTTCATGTGCATGGTGCTAGTCATCTGGATTTGCAGCGATGGCTGTAGCGATCGTCTCTAAAAGTAATGCAATTAAATATGCAAAAAAAAACTTTTATCTTGTTCAAAATCTGAGCTTGTGTATGCTGTTACTACAAGAAATTATGTGTATTGTATTATTTATTTAATTGACTCTGGAAATGGTGATACTAATCATTTATATTAATATTATAAATGATGCAACTATTTTTATCACTTATATTAATTGATATTAATATATATCATTTGTAATAAGTAATATTAATATTTAAATCACTTAAAATAAATGATATTAATATTGATATCATTTAAAATAAATGATATTAATATTTATTATCAGTTATAATAAACGATAGTATATATTAAAATTTAGAGATATTAAAATTTGTTTTAATTAAAAAAATTGTGTTAATTTTTATAATATTATAAATTTAAGATAACTAATAATTTTATATTTATTATTCTAAGAAATGTATATAAATATATAGATATGATTTAACATAAAAAATCTAGTGTTGATGAATTTCTTTTATAGAGGAGGAAACTAGTACTCTTCATCATTCTTAGCAATGTGAGACAAATAATTTTTTAGTGGAAACTTTATTTGCATCACTTTTATAACTAAAAGAAATATTAGCATCATTTACTATTGATGCTAATGCCAGTTGATCAAATTTTTTACTTATATAACTGATGTAAACTTATATATTTGTGGTAGTTTTCAAAAGTGATATAAATTAATAATGATTTGTATCAGTTTTTTTTAATTGATGTTAATCAAGTTAGTATTAATATCAATTATTTTTAATTGATACCAATCAAGTGAAGATTAATACTCCCTCTGTTTCATAATAAGTGTCATTTGGAGAAAATGTATCTGTAATGTATCTGGATGTATTAAACTCAAAACATATCCAGATACATCCAGTTACAATGCATATATATTTTTTCCAAATGACAGTTATTATGAAACGGAGGGAGTATCAATTAAAAAATTGATGTAAAATTTTATATCTAATATCAGTTTTTAATTAGTGATTCTAAATAAAATCAGTTATTTTAATGATACTGTATAAGTGATGTAATATACCTTTTTTGTAGTGTGTTAACATGTTTCACGTTGAGTAATGTATTTATATCTTGGTAACTTATGAATTAATGTGATTAACGAATGATTGATTTAACACAAAAAGCTTATGGATTATTGGCTCTAATACGACCACACAAAACTTGTAAACCTGAATTCAACTACACTTAGTTATTGACACCAATGACCTAAACCCAGTATACCTAAAGGTTAAGTTAAACAAATCCATCTTCTTTTTTTGTCAACAGCCTCTAACTCTTAGAACAATTCAGATAACCCAAACCGGTGGAGTTGAGTTTACATAATTTAAATTATAAAGATAGTCATGAACACTTCGTGCTAACTTGTCTGCCTTTGTGTTGTGAGCGCGTGGGATGTGTGAGATGGAAAAAGAACTAAAATCTTTTATGCATGTCTCGTATTCCTCAAAGTGTAGAGCGAAAGCCGGCCATTCCTCTGGTTTGGACACCATCTTCACCAATTCGGAACTATCTGTAACGAAAACCATCACTAATCTTCTTGCATCCAGCATGCAGTGCATCGCCTAGATCAAAGCTTCCAATTCTGTGTGTAATAGAGAAATGCTTCATCTAACATTTTTTACCCCCATTAACGTGACGTCCGATGCACTGTCTTGACAGTACCATCTAGTTCTTTTCTTCCTACAAACTAAACAACCCAAGTTTTTATTTTTTTGTCCTTTTGAATTGGCTTAGATGCACTAGAGTGATTTACAGAATTTTTTTTTTATGTTTGGATAACATACAAATATATTTTCAGCAACTAGAATATTTTGTGTTACTTTTTTTTACTTTTGAACATGTGTTTAACCGAAATTGCCCTTAATAAAATGAGGAGTGAAACAAATAAATTAGTTATTCATTGTAAATGTGTCATATGGATAGACGAAAACAACGAAGTATACATGTTAGTATGTCCATAGGAGTGTATCCATACAGATGTCCACGGTGGTTTACAAATCGTGATAAGAGTTTTGGTTATCAAAAGTGAGTGTGCTATATAGATAGATGGAGACAACAAAGTATATATATTATGTTCATGGTGGTGTATCCATATGGATGTTGACAGTGGTTTACAAATTGTAATAAGAGTTTGGTTGTCCATAGTGAATGTGGTCATATGGATAGACGGAGATAACGAAGTATAGATGTCAGTATGTCCACGGTGGTGTATCCATATAGATGTCCAGAGTGGTTTACAAATCGTAATAAGAGTTTTGGTTATCTATAGTAAATATGTCATATAGATAGTCAGAGACAACGTGATATAAATGTTAGTATGTCCACGGTGTTAGTATGTCATACAGATTCTATAACTAAAGGGCTTTTCCATGTATTTATATTATTATGGATATCTATACTCATAATATGTGTGTCATATGGATAATCAGAAATAACAAAATATAAATACTAAATGTTGATATATCTATGGTAGTGTATTCATACTGATATCCGCGATAGTTTATAAATCGTGATAAAAAATTAATTGTCCATAATAATAAAGTGCTCTCATCGCTCAAAATGCTCAAAAAGCTCTCTTAGCTCAAAAGTGCTCTCTAATGCAACAAACCGGACAATGCAAAATATAAAACTGTAGTGCAGAAACAAAACGACGGCGTTTTCGTACTTTAGAGAGAACTTTAATTTAATAATAAAAATAAACCCTACAAGGATCTTCACCCTTACGCATCAAACAAAAGTTGCAGACTAAACGGCAAAATTCATCTCCGTAAAAACTGAGCTGCGGCGAGAACTTTGGAGCTCCGGTAAACTCATATTATATAGTCTAGCTCTCTTCTTCCAATTAACAACTGGAATCGTTTACGATTGAATCTGTATATCTGTGAATTTTGCAGGATAATTAAATAGGCGAGAAAAATAAAAAAACATGGCTTATTCAGCGATGAAGCCCGGGAAGGCCGGTTTAGAAGAATCACTGGAGCAAATCCATAAGATCAGAATCACTCTCTCTTCAAAGAATGTGAAGAACCTCGAGAAAGGTTTGATCTTTTTTGTTTTGGCCTCTTTAATTTGTTGACAATACCAAGCCTCCCTTGTTGCATCATTTGATCAAGTGTAACGAATTGATCAGCTCTCTAGTCCTAGAGAATTTGAGTGTGATAGGATTTTTTTGTTTCGTCTCACTAGTTTTAAGGCTTAAAAATCTATGAAAAATCCCAAATTTTGGGGGAGAAAAACAGAGCAATTGGTATTTAGATTGCTTAAAGAAAGGTTTGATTTTTGTGGGTTGTTAAAGCTCGTTTCATTTGTTTCATTTGTTTTTGGGTTCAGAAATTTTACGAAAATCGATCGCAAATGTGGCAACTTTAGAAAATGATTTTTTGGATTGACGTCTAAAGAATCACTGTACTTTGTGCTTGAGATAAAAGAGTGGATCTAAAATAAAGAACGAAACACTGAATAGTCTATATCTCTGATGCTTGCTTTTGTTTGATTAGTGTGCACTGACTTGGTCCGTGGAGCTAAGGACAAGTCGCTTAGAGTCAAGGGACCAGTGAGAATGCCCACCAAGGTTCTTAAGATCACCACCAGAAAGGCACCATGTGGTGAAGGTACTCTTAAATCATCTTCTCTCCTTCTACAATCTACATGTTGTTATCTCAAGTCTTGCACCTAATGTCTCTTTTTGGAAAATAGGACACTAAGTGTTTCAACTAACAGACTTGATATCTGTTTTTAGCTCTAAGGAAAAAGCTTTTTGCTTTTTTTTTCTGTATGTTTCTTGTCAGTCAAGTCACTTGACACTGTTTCATGGTGGTATTGTATCAGGAACCAATACTTGGGACAGATTTGAACTCAGGGTTCACAAACGGGTGATAGATCTCTTCAGCTCGCCTGAGGTGGTTAAGCAAATCACTTCTATCACCATTGAACCCGGTGTTGAGGTTGAGGTCACTATTGCTGACTCTTAGACAAAACTCTTGTTTATGTTTACAAAACCGCTTCAAAAAAGAATGTAACTTTCTGTCTTTTTTTGGTCTTACATCTTTTTGTTTCTGGTTAGTGCAACCTTAGATTCTTTGGTTTTCTATAGTTTTGAGATGGGTTTTGTTCATCCTCTTTTTTCTCTCATCCATTAAGAGACCTTAATGAACAATTTCACGATCTTGATTTCATATATAATCTCAGTTTCTGACACTAAAGATTATCTTCAATGTGGTTGGGGTTTCAATATCACAGTAGATATTGTTCGAATATATTACCAATAACAACACAAAGTAGAAGTTTCACGTCCATCACAAGAACAAAACCATTATTGGTGAAGATTAGAGATCTTGAACAAATCGAAATGATCAATCACACTTTGAAACGAGGGTTGACATAACGAAAATATAAAAAGCCGAGTACATAGTCAACGACTTCAGGACATACATTTTTCACCAAGAAGATCCATTTCAACGAAGATGGCTCTTCTATGTATGTCTCTCCTCTACCAATACCTTTGAAGATTGCCTTGACGCATTTACTCACCGATTCCGACAGAATAAAATCTGAACCGTACAATATTTTACAATAAAACACACACCAAAAAAGAAGCACATTACTTGGTTAGTTAATGTCATATGTATATAGTTCATGTACAAATCAACACAACAATAACACTAAAATCTCTCTATGACTTGACAATGTTGACACATTAGCTTTTTGAAGCTTTATAAACATGACACCTTAGTAAAAATAATCACCAATCAAAATATTTTATTAATACATCTCATCTACTTATTTTAATTTTTAAACTTAAACTCATTAAAACCCCAAATATTTTTTCTATTAATTTTTTTTATCAAACCCAAGCCCAAATAATTAATAACAGTAAATAAAAAAATCATTATTTTATTTTTTGTCAAATCCAAACTCAAATAATAAATAAAAATAAATAAAAAAATTAAATCATTGTTTTCTCTTTTTTTTGCCAAAATCAAATCCAAATAATAAATAACAACAAATAAATAATAATAAAAATTCTAGCTATGTGTTTGTTTGACATAGACGTATATGATTGAAAAAGTGTAGGTTCAGCATTAACTATGCTTCCATGACAACAACGCAAAAAGTCTTATGTTATAAGAAGCTCACACATCAGCAAACATTTGAACCGGTAAAAACATAACAATTTCTTAGTTTTCGCGGGAAAACATAATTTCACTGGAGATAATGCAATTTTTGGTTTTCGCGGGAAATTGTAGTTTCTTTGTTTTTGTAGGAAAGCGTGATTCTGGGCTTGACGAGAAGATGCTTTTTTTTTGTTTTGGCAGGAATAGACGATTTCTCAGTTTTCGCAGGAAAAATAAATTTTCCAAATTTTGGCGGAAAAATACAATATTTTTTTGGTTTTTGCAGGAAGATGAAATTTTTTGGTTTTTTTTTGAAAAAACGTAATTTCTCGGCTTTGGTGGAAAAACACAGGTGCTCGCGGGAAAATGAAATTTTAGGTTTGACGAGAAAATAATTTTTTTTGTTTTGGCGGGAATGGGCGATTTCTCAGTTTAATGGGAAAGTGAAATTTTTTTGTTTTGACGGAAAATACGATTTCTCGATTTTTATAAGAAGATAAAATTTCTTTGTGCTAAACTTCCAAGTTAAAGTATGTTTACAGTAACCAAAATTTAAATATTTAACTTTAACTAAAACGATATTTTAAGAGTTCAAACATAATTTTTATTTAGTTCTAAAGCAATAACAATGGTTTTGATATGAATGTTATTTATTATAGTTGATAGTTTTAGAAACATATGTTTATAATAAAATATTTGATAAATAAATAAATTTTATAATTCAAAATAATCATATTAATTTATAATTTTTTTAAATGACATTTTGCTTTATATAATTACAAAGGAGGATCAAGTGGTAATTTATTGGAGAAAATAGATTACATTTGCCATTAGCATGAATGTGCTAAAAATGTATTGCTTTATTTTTATATATTTTATTCCTATATATACATTTATAATTAGTTAGCTAACTAAATTTAATAGCAAAATATAATTTTAAAAAATAATAAATAAAAAATACATAATGTTTATTCAGATTTAAAACATATAAATGCATAACTTAAGCTAATAAAAAAATATAATACACATTTACATTATAAAAATAATTTTATTATATTAAAAATATATAAAAAATTTAGAAAAATATCCTGCAGCATAGCGCGGATAAATACCTAGTGTTATTACTAATTTACCTTTTCTATAAAGTGAGGAGTGGTCATATCTGTAGATATAACTCCGAGTAAAACAATTGTTATTTTGATATCCGGATATAGCTCAACTCTTAATGTCTCAAAGAGTCTTACTAAAGCTGCTTTGCTTGCCTAAAATAGTAAGCAAGTAAATATCAATATTGTCAAATGTAAACTTTTGTTTGTATATAAGAAATAGGCAAAAGAATTTTGTTTATCCTATATTAAGAAAACCTTACTGCATAGACGCTTAACAATGGCATAGGTAACTTTGCTGCAGCAGAAGCAATCACGATGATTTTTCCTTTGCTCTTTCGAAGATGAGGAATCGCAAAATAAGTGATGTATGTTGTACCCCAAAAGTTGATATCCTTAATTTATATATACACACATGTTAGATGAAGCACTGAATATAGGGTTTGATTGTTCAATATAGGGTTTGATTGTTGTTTCAGATTAACGTTTCAATTGTTATTGTGGTAAAATATAACAAAATGCTTTATTGTTTTTTTATGTTTATCTTTAGAAAAGTGTAAACGCTAATAAAACCGCAAACGGGGAAGTAAGACGTTGTTTGTGTTGAAAATATAGAGATTAAAGGTTATATATAGAAAAAAGTTGTATTATCAACATATAAGATTTTAACGTGTGAAAAGCAAACGCAAATATTTGCGTGTAAAGCAATGATCAATATGTTCGATAACAAAGTTCAAAACAAAAGGTGTTCGATAACAGCTACGACGCATGCATTTTTTTTTTCTTTTTTTTTTCTGAAGCATGCATTTCTTCTTAATTTATGGATTGTTATTTATTTATTTTTTATGAAACTGGAAAATACATATTAAAAAAAAAAAAAAGAACTCACCATTATAGGATTAGCGTCTTGAATTTGCGTGAAATCTTCAAAGTTAAGAATCTGTGTTATTCCAGCATTGTTGACCAGGTGATCTACTGTCTAGGTATAACAGAGATCAAAAATGTATTTAGAAATGAAAAAGATTTGTTTATTTAAATGCTATTCTGGTATTGTTTTACCCTGCCAATTAATATATAGGTTAGCATAGATTTAGAATTGGTAAATCGGAATTATTTTTTTTTAAAACAATCTAGTTAAAAAGCTATAGAAACTTTTATACTTAATTATAATAATTCATATAAGATCCAATAAAATGACCATACATAATACATTTTCATAGACATTTTTATGATACACATACATAATATTCATATATAACGAGAACTATGTTTATATGCATATAGGTCATGGATAACTATTGCTATTGTGATATAACTAATGCAATCATAATATTGCTACTGCCAAATAAATTACGAATGTAATCATAATATTGCTATTGACCTATTGTGATATAACCACGAATATAATAATTAATAATATTGCTATTGTGATATATAAACTACGTTTCTTATGTTCGAGTACGTACGTTTTCCGAAATGTTGAACCGTCTCATCGATAAACTTCTTGCAGTCCTCAACGTTAGCAACATCGCCAGGTATGATGGTGACATCACCAGATCCTAATTGACGTGATGTTTCGGCTACTATCTCCAGACGATCCTTTCTTCGAGCACCGAGAGCCAAATAGGCTCCTCTCTTTGCATACTCGTATGCGAGTTGCTTTTTTTTTTTTTCCACAATCCAATAAAATAGGAACATAAGCAATCTCTACCAAATAACATATGAGTTTTATGTGGATGAGTGGATTTATACATTTAAAATAGTAGTATAACATGCGTCATAAATTATAAATTATTACAAATAGCGGTTACAGTTTACAACGGATATTGCTCTAACCCTCTAACTCTCTAACTGCTGTCAAACAGATCATTTATGTGGTCGTATAGATACAGAGCCGTGCCAAGGTTAGTAAACGTTATAGACGATTAAAAACAATCTCAATATCGTAGAAAATAGAAATATATAATTATACGAGTCAATAAACAAAATGTTTACCATAATAAGTATCGTTGTATGACAAAATAAAGTAAAAAAAACTAAACACAAAAATAGTTTAAAATTGCAATAGAGATGATTAAGAACTAAATAAGAACAAAGCAATAATTAAAAAAAAATATAGCAAACTTACTCTAATAACAACGCTTTGATGAACTCAATGAAAAACAAAATCTAGAAAAGAGAACGACAAACAGGCAATAGGAAAAAAAAGTCACACAAACCGTTAACCCAAATCTTTCTGATCAGTTTAATCGGTTTACGTTTTTTGCTATTTTTATCTGTGAAGATTGTGATAACTTGATGAACAAGATGGCTTTGAATTTGAGCATGTGTTGGGACCACAAGAAAACTAACTATGATGGTTGTTAATTAATCATGGTTGAATTTATATGGGACGACTTTGGTGTTGGGAAACGGCTACTGCCGCGATAAGACAAACAGGAGCCAACTCCACATGGTCAAGGACGTTCTGTCCGTGTATACTCAAAGGAGAAAGGAAATCGCAATCGCTATTCAAGATGAGATTTTGGCGTTTGAAGAAGATCATTTTGCGGTTGCTTTACTTGGAAAGCCCTAAATGTGGTAACACTATAAGAAGGCTTCGGTGACATGAGAGAGAGTTGAGGGAGAGCAGAGGCACAATGTAGCCGAGAGTGATAGTTGAGAGAAAACAGATTTAGTATAAGCTTTGTTCAAGGTTTGTCTCTCTAGCAATAGAAGTGGTACAGAGTGAGTCTAAGTACTAGTGAAGGGTATTAGGCGGATCACTTGTAACTTCTTGTTGTAATCACTGTATTGAATCTAGTGGATTCCGAGCTTAGTCTCGGCGAGATGTAGCGAGCCCATTTTGGGCGTGAACTCGTTAAATATTTGTGTGTGCTCCCTTCTCCCTTTTTCTTCTCTCAATCTCTCATACTCTGTTTTCTGCAAGTTTCTACATCTTCTCTGTTTTAGTCTCACGTTTTGACACATCAAGCTTCTTCAATCTTGGTCTGAATGGTTTATGCTCTAGTAAAGTGACTTTTAGAGCCATTGAATCCTAACATTATCATTTATTTTTATATAATTGTTATTGGCTTAAAGGTTACGGCAGTTTACGTCATTTAGAAATGTGACATATAAAAACTTCATTATTTTTTATTTAACATTATGTTTCAAAGTAACTTTAATAAAATAACGTTAACCACCTTGCTTTTTTGTAGTGTAACTGATATTTTGCATAACTTGCTAAGCAAATTAAAAGAAAAAAAAAATTTACACTACCATTCAAAGTCGGAAAAGTCATCAGTTAGATCTTTGATCAGACTGTATATAGTAAACAAAAGCACAAGGACGATTTATTATTAGTCTCGAATTGCTTGGTATCGTTGATAAAATAACCTAAGTAAGACCAAAAATTCAAAAAAGAAAAATGATAAAACATCCAAAAGTAGCTAACCTCTCCGATGTCCGAGGACGCTCCGGTGATTAGAACTACTTTTCCGGCTACGCTTTCAAAGCGAAGATGCTTATGAACACAAATTACAAGTTTGATCACAAGATAAAACGGGTAAAAGATGATGAGAAAGATGATAGTAAGAGGAGGAAGAAGAAGATTCAGAATGGTGTTAAGCATATCCATGTTGTTCGTTGCAGTTGTCACTTTTCTATTACAATATTCGTTCACTTTGTATAAAATTCAACAAGAGAAGTCTTTTCTATAGCCACAGAAAATGTAGATGCGTAGGGTTTGTTGGCCCTCATTATGAAGTTGTAGTAACAGCGGACCTCTTGAGTTTGGTCCATTGCATTCATATAAAAAAAAAAAAAAAACAGTATAAAATCCAAATACACAAGTGACAAGACTTTCCACATAAGTAGTCTTTAGCTTAGTAAATTACAGCTCTCAACATGTTTATATTGTCGGGTCTGATTAATATCACAATATTGCCTCAAAGACTTTCTAATTTCACAACAAAATGCTTCACTCACATACTTTTTCCTCTGTATATAGTTCGCGCTAAACCTCTGTTTTCTAACCAACTTAATTAACTGCCAACTTCATCTCTCAATTCAATTATTTTCTCTTTAAACCAACAAAAATGTTAGAGTTAGCGTTTGAGTTGATCGTACCATTTAAGACGGATTAACTTCTTGTGTTCTGTCTCTGCAACCTCATTATAGTCATGATCTCGCTGGTACATCAAACCCCGGTTCCATGGATTCTCAAGATTTCCCGTTTCTCGCCTCCATAGGGTTCATAAGTGCAACATTGCTTCTGCTGATCATAATGATGGTGATGATGATTGAAAGATATCGCTAGTGTTTCATCTCAACAAGAGGCTTTGATCAATGTCTCCAACATTTATGATAAAGATTAGAGCTGTGATGATGATGATTAGAGCTGTCAAATGGTCCCTCCGCGCCCAATTGGACTTGTCCACATGGACCATTTGGTTTTATTAATTGTAACTGATCCATCTTTAATGGACAATGGTCCAAAAATGACCACGCACAATGGACAGTCCAATTTAATCTAATCTTAAATTTCATGTTATAACTTATAACCATTTTAATTTACTAAACACGTTTTACTGTAAAACACCTGATTTAAACTGATCTTAAATTTCATGTAATCAAAATTTTATTTACATTTTGGTATAAATTCATAAATCAAACTGCAATAAAGAAACTTTTATATAGATTGAGTCGCAATCATTGGAACTCAGTTTCGATTAAGTTTTGGAACATCACCAATCATACACAATGGAGATCTTGCTCACTACTCCAAAATTCTCTATGTAAACAAAAGCACCATTCCAACATTCTAGGTCCTCGTCTTCTTCCGTGTTGCTGCGCTTGGTCTTTCCTCTGGTTGATGCTATCGTCGCGCTGGCTCTGTGCCGTGGTTGGCTTCCCTGCTTTGCTTATGTGATCTTCTCCTCTCGGTTGTGAGGGCTTCTCTTCGACAAGTTGTCTCTCGCCACTACTTTGGGCTTATTGTCTGCCTCTCCTCGTGTCGTCTTCCGCGTATCCTAAGTTCTCCAATTGTTGTTGTCATTGCTTCCTTTACCTTATAATTGTTGTTCTTCAATACTTTTCATGTGTTTAGGAGCGTATAAAATTTTAGGTTTAGGAGCATATGGCTGCCTTATAATTGTTGCCATACGCTCCTAAACCTAACCTTTCATGTAATCAAAATTCCATGTTCTTCAATACTTTTCAAAATTTTAGGTTTAGGAGTCTATGGCTCTAAAAATAAAAAGTTTTCATTGCAATAATAAAACACGGTACAAGTTTCATGTGCATCATACGAACACAGACCATTATTGAAGACTAGAAATCTTGGATAAATGGTAATGATCAATCACACTTGCAACAAGGTTTGAGATAACGAGAATTTAAATAGCCCAGTACATAGTCAACGATTTCAGGACACACATTTTTCACCAAAAAGATTGATTTCATCCAAGATGGCTCTTCTATGTGTGTTTCTCCTCTACCAATACCATCGAAGATTGCTTTGGCGCATTTACTCACCGATTCCGACAGAATAAAATCTGAACCAGTCTAAATTTTACAAAAAAACACATAAATTAGTTAATTTCATATATATATGTATATTTATAGTCCATTTACAAGTATTGTTACTAATTACCTTTGCTATAAAGTGAAGAGTGGTCATATCTGTAGATATAAATCCGGGAAAAACAATTGTTATTTTGATATCCGGATTTAGCTCAACTCTTAAAGTCTCAAAGAATCTTACTAAAGCTGCTTTGCTTGCCTACAACAGTAATATAAATATTGTCATACGTAAACTTTTGTTTGTATTTAAAAAATAGGCAAAAGAATTTTGTTTATCCTTTATAAAGAAAACCTTACTGAATAAACGCTTGACAATGGCAAAGGAATATTTGCTGCAGCAGAAGTAGTCACGATGATTTTTCCTTTGTTCTTTCGAAGATGAGGAATTGCAAAATAAGTGATGTATGTCGAACCCCAAAAGTTGATATCCTTGATTAATATACACACAATTTAGATGAAGTATTGAATATATGTTTTGATTGTTGTTTCAGAGTAGCATTTCAATTAATATTCTGGTAAAATAAAACACTTTCTTTAGAAAAATGTAAACGCTAAGACGTTGTTTGTGTTGAAAATATAGGGATTATTTTCTAGAGATTAAAGGCTATATTCTTATTATATGCATATAAGGTTTTAACGTCTGAAACCAAACACAAATTAACATTTGCGTTTGAAGCAATCAACTGTATTCGATAACAGCTAAGCATGCATTTTTTTCTTAATCGACGGATTAATTTTGTTTTATGAAACTTGTAAACGGATGATTTTCAGAAGAAGAAAAAAAGAAGGAACTCACCATTATATGATTAGCGTCTTGAATTTGCGTGAAATCTTCAAAGTGTAAAGTTTGTGATACTCCAGCATTGTTGATCAGGTGGTCTACTGTCTAGGTATAATAAATAAACTGATTAGAACAATAACCATCTAATTAAAATATAATCCCAAAACAAAAAAATAAAGTATTTACAATTTCTTAAGAGATACGTTTAGTTAAATGCTAATTTGGTATAGTTTTCACTACCAATTCATTCATTTATAGGTTAGTTTAGATTTGGGAAAGCGGAACTAAAATAGTAAAATTTGTAATAATTATTTCAAAAACTTAGTTAAAAAGCTATAAAACTTTTTCTGATTATAATAATTCGTATAAAGTCTAATAATGATACATACATAATATTTGTCATAGACATTTATGATACACATACTTAACAGGTTTACCACCGATAACGTTTCTTATATTCGAGTAATGTACTTACGTTTTCCGAAATGTTGAACCGTCTCATCGATGAACTTCTTGCAGTCATCAACGTTAGCAACATCACCAGGTATGATGACGACATCGCCAGATCCTAATTGACGTGATGTTTCGGCGACTCTCTCTAGAAGATTCTTTCTTCGAGCAACGAGAGCCAAATATGCTCCTTTCTTTGCGTATTCGTATGCGAGATGCTTTTTTTTTGTTAAGTCCAACAAAATAATAAGAACATAAACAATCTCGACCAAATATAATAGGTAAGACCAAAAAGTCAAAAATGAAACATGATAAGAAAAAAAAAATAAGATAAAAAGAAATAGCATCCAAAATTAACTAGCAAACCTCTCCGATGCCAGAGGAAGCTCCGGTGATTAGAACTACCTTTCCAGCTACGTTTTCGAAGCGAAGATGCTTATGAATAGAGCTCACAAGTTTGATCAAAAGATAAAATGGGTAAAAGATGATGAGAAAGATGATTGTAAGAGGAGGAAGAAGAAGATTTAGAATGGTATTGAGCATTTCCATGTTGTTCGTTGCAGCTATCACTTTTCTGTTCAAATGTTTGTTTTGGCCCTCATATCAATGGCGGACCTCTGGAGTTCAACCTTCATTTACGTTTCTGCTTTTTTAAATATTGAGTGATTTCTTTTTTTTATTGAAAGAGAAATGTTGAGTGATTTGAAGGTAATCTAATTCATGAATGCTTTCACATGTGGTTGTCGTCTATGCATTTCATGCATCGACCCTAAACATGCATCCAAAATATTCTAAGATCGTTATGATACTCTTATTTCGTAAATACATAAATCACAACCAGAAAAAGAAAAAAAGAGAGAGATGTTTAGATGTTAAACTATGAAAATGATGTTGTAGCTGGTTTTGGGGGGTTAAATATCTTATAGCTGATTTGAAGTTCTAGCTTAACGAGTTCCATAGTCTTCTAAGATAATTAAGAAAACACATTAGAGGAAATTATATCAAATTCCATCAAGGTATTGCAATTGAAAGCCATTTAATTTGTTTATTTTAATATGAAAAGAAGAAGAAAAAAATGTCCACATGATTGATGGTTAGTTGTCAAGAAACTTTCGTACAAATATCACATTACAAGTTTGCTCCATTGCATTCACATAAACTAAAACAAAAGTCTAAAATCCAAATACACAAGACTTTCCACATGTAATCTTTAATAATTTACAACTTGTCTCTTTATATTGCCACAAACAAACTTCTCATGCCAATTTCATATATCTATCAATTCATTTCTTGTCTCTTTAAACCAACAAAAATATTAGAATTAGCGTTTGAGTTGATCGGAGGAGCCACGTCGAATTCGCTTCTCGTGTTCTGTTTCTGCAATGCAACATTGCATCTGCTGATCGTAATGATAATTTAAATATATGAGTATTATTTCATCTCCATTGTCAAACAATCCGATGTCGTCCAGCGGTTAGGATATCTGGCTTTCACCCAGGAGACCCGGGTTCGATTCCCGGCATCGGAGCTTTTTAAAACTTTTATCAATTTCGCGGGGTTCGATAAAATGTTTTAAAAAGTAATAATATTAGTTTATTTATATATAGATTAAAAAAATCAGATTTTATAACTATTCAAAATCAAAATTAATATATTTAAAAAATATAATTTTATGAATATATTATTTTTTTGTGACAAAGTAAAATATATTATTTTTATCTTATTTTCTAATATTTTTTATATTATCCGATAAATATTTATATGTATGTTTTGTTGTATTTATTAAACATGATAAATAATTCTCTTCTTTTGATGTAAATTTATAGATTAAGATTAATAAAATTCAAGATTTGCATTAAAAAAAATAGCAATCCAAAATGATCAAAACCAAAAGATCATTGTTTCATATTAGCTTAACATTAATTAATAGAGTTTTAAAAGGATTTAAAGGATTGAGACTGTTTTATTTTTGGCCGCATAAATCAATTAGGTTAGTTAAAAATATTAGTAGGTTAAACAATCAAATCAATATTAGTTTAAGGAAATAATTATGATTTTTTGTGATTTATGCTAGTTACTTTTTTTGTAAACTGAATATTTTTAAGATATAAATTCGAATTTGAAAATCTATATTTAAAAGAATAAAAATCAATTAAAAACTAGATTATATTAATTTATTAATTTTATTAATGGTAAATAAAGTCTTTTCATATAAGGGACAAAAAGTAATCAACTATCATAACTATCAATCACAGTCCAACTTGCCTCTCAATTAATAATATGATAATTAATAGCAAAACACAAAGTATAATTAAAAACTTGAGTTATTGGGTAAATATGATCATTCACGCTTGAAATAAGGTTTGAGATAACGAAAAAATAAATAGTTGAGCAAGTGGTCAACGACTTCAGGACACACATTTTTCAACAAAAACACCCATTTCATCCAAGATGGCTCTTCAATGTATGTCTCTCCTCTAGCAATACCTTTGAAGATTGCCTTGACGCATTTACTCACCGATTCCGACAGAATAAAATCTGAACCATACTATATTTTACAATAAAACACACACAAAAGTACATAGCTTAATTAGTTAATGTCATATGTATAGTATAGTCTAAAATTATGCACAAGCGTTATTACTAATTACCTTTTCTATTAAGTGAGGAGTGGTCATATCTGTAGATATAACTCCGGGTAAAACAATTGTTATTTTGATATCCGGATTTAGCTCAATTCTTAATGTCTCAAAGAATCTTACTAAAGCTGCTTTGCTTGCCTATAACAATAACAAAGTAATAACAACATTGTCATAAGTAATTTGTATTCTGTATATTTGAAATACGCAAAAGAATCTAAAGAAAACCTTACTGAATAAACGCTTGCCAATGGCAAAGGAATATTTGCTGCACCAGAAGCAATCACGACGATTTTTCCTTTGCTCCTTCGAAGATGAGGAATTGCAAAATAAGTGATGTATGCTGTACCCCAAAAGTTGACATCCTTATAATACAAACAAATTAGATTAGTTAGCTTGTTAATTATAATTTGCGTTTACCATTAGAATCGTCGACAAAATAAAAACAGTCTTGGAGAAAGTTACCCAAATATTTTAGTGCATGCTTTAATCAAAAATATTATGTATTTGTAAACGTTAACAAACGATGTTAGCGGGAAATACTTCGTGTGTGTTCTAAATGCTTTTTTTTAACTCGTAAACGCATATGTAAATTCAATTATTCGTGTAAAGCAGTCGTATGTATTTGATAACTAAGCTATTCGCTTTGTAAATGGATCTTAAGAAGCTTACCATTATAGGATTAGCGTCTTGGATTTGAGTGAAATCTTCGAAAATAACAGTTTGAAAGACACCAGCATTGTTGACCAGGTGGTCTACTGTCTAGACATGATAACTTGATTAGAATGATTATCATCTAAATAAACAAAAAATAGATACTATTTTATTGTTTGTGGCAGATATACATTTAGCTAATTAAATGTTATATATGTCTGTTTCATATATAACGGGAACTATGTGTATTTCATTAGTAATAATATACTACGTACGAGTTTACTCCAGTTCAATTACGAGTTTACCTCCAACATGCATACCCCCAAACTAAGACTTACGTAGACATAGATAATCTTTTCTTTAAGTACTTACGTACGTTTTCCGAAATGTTGAACCGTCTCAACGATGAACTTTTTGGAGTCCTCAACGTTAGCAACATCACCAGGTATAATGATGACGTTACCAGATCCTAATTGACGTGATGTTTCGGCTACTATCTCTAGACGATCCTCTCTTCGAGCAACGAGAGCCAAATATGCTCCTTTCTTTGCGTACTCGTATGCGAGATGCTTTTTTTTACAGCCCAACAAAACAAGAACATAAACAATCTCAACCAAGTATATACTTAAATCAATTAGCTATATATGATGGTTTGTTACAAATAACAATGTACTGTTCACGACTGATGGTCTAGCTATCATCATAGCACAATATAATTGCAAGAACTGACTCCATCCACGACACGACAACTTTTTTTTACCGGGAACAGATAAAAATATTTTAGAAGAATATAATAGAGCAGGAAAGTAATATTTTTATCTAGTCAACAAAAATCAGGTGAAAAGTTGAGAAACAAAAAACATACCAAGGCTAACGAAAGAAAATAAAGGATTTCAAAATTTTTGATTTTTGTTTTTTTTCTTAGTGTTTTGTTAGCTAACAGTTAATTGATTGGTATTTACCTAAAGTGTGATGATTACACTAAAATTAAGCCCAAAAATCAAAATAAAAAATGAGCTAAGATAAGATCATTTACGTTTCTATGATATTTTTAAAACATATATTATACAAAATTAGATGGTGCCAGCTGAAGCTCACCCTTCCCACATGGGACCTCAGAACAAAATCATAGATTTATCAACCAGATCTAATACCATGTGGGATCTATATACTATGTATAGTTATTTCCTTATTGTATTTTAATCAGTATTAGAATAAGTTTATAAATTTTTGAAAGTAGCGATCTATCGTTCATAAGAGATATAGATTTAGTTATTATCATATAAACGATTATCTAGCAGCACATGTGATTGCAAAAGATGAGTTAATCAGTATATATATACATCAAAAATTCCGAAAAATGATACACATGAGAACTTGAAATTATTTACAAAAAGTCCGAACGACTAGTTTAGTCGCTAATTACTTGGTATTGGTCAATAAAAATTTTCATAGGAAGAAAATAAGTATATGAAACATGGTAAAAAAGAAAAGCATAGCATTCAATTAAAGGTAGCTAACCTCTCCGATGCCGGAAGAAGCTCCAGTGATTAGAACAACTTTTCTGGCTACATCTTCGAAGCGAAGATGCTTTTGGAGAGAAATCACAAGTTTGATCAAAAGATAAAATGGGTAAAAGAGGAAAAGAAAGATGATGGTAAGAGGAGGGAGGAGAAGATTGAGAACTGTGTTAAGCATATCCATGTTGTTAGTTTGCAGAACCAACACCACTACTTACCTCCTAACTTTTAATGTTTAAAATGTTGAAACTTTAGAAATTAGCTCTACAAGAGAAGAATTAATGTTATAATAAGAAGATTAAGCATTTCAAGTATCCGGGCCAGGGCGAGTCAATATAAACGGTTTGTAAGCTCCATGTGACTTAATTTTTTTTTAAGCCACCTAATTTTTTATACTATATTTGTGAAACATGTAGTTAGACACATTAATTACATAGTGGTCTAGTGGTTTTAATTCGAGTATATAAAATTAAAATCACTTATTAAATTCTATTTGGGATCGTGATTTACACTTTACACCTAATATCGTCAATGGCTGCCTCCCAATATCAGGAAATATTTTGGTACAAAGAGCAAGAACTTTCAAACTCTAAAAACCAAAATATATTAAAAAAAAAAGTTTAGAAAATAATAAAAAGGTAAAAAAAAAGAGATTTTGCAAAAATGATCAATAAATTCAAGTCAATTGCTAAACTAACCTTCCATTTGCTTTCTCACATTTGCTTTGCAGATGACTTAATCTTATTTGCAGAAGCATCTGTCTCGCAAATTAGGGTCATACGGAATATTCTGGAAAGGTTCTGCACAGCTTTGGGGCAGAAGGTTAGCTTGGAGAAGTCGAAAATTTTCTTCTCCAACAATGTTTCTCGAGACTTGAGTAATTTGATTAGTCATGAAAGTGGTATCAAGGCTACACGTGAGCTTGGAAAGTATCTGGGTATACCAATACTACAGAGGAGGATTAACATGGATACGTTTTGGGATGTTGTGGAGAAAGTCTTGTCACGGCTTGCAGGATGGAAGAGCCAATTTTTGAGCTTAGCTGGAAGATTGACTCTTACCAAATCAGTGTTATCTTCGATCCCTGTGCACACAGTGAGTACAATTCTGCTGCCGAAGTTAACACTGTCGAAGCTAGACAAAATCTCAAGAGCCTTCCTATGGGAAGTACGGATGGTGTGAGAAAGCCACACCTACTAGCTTGGAAACGGGTCTGTGTACCTAAACGAGAAGGAGGTTTGGGGATTCGTACAGCTGTGGGGATGAACAAAGCCCTCATTGCAAAGTTGGGGTGGCGACTTATGCAAGATCAGTCATCCTTATGGCTCAAGTGTTACGTCATAAGTACAAAGCAGTGGAGGGACAAGAAAAGATCTGGACCGTTGTGCAGGGAAGTGCTTCAAGTACTTGGTGGAGCATATTTACAGGGATCAGAGATGTGGTACTTTTAGGGATGACTTGGATAGTGGGGGATGGTCGTCGAGTTTACTTCTGGAAGGACAGGTGGTTGTTGAATGTCCCGTTACTGGAGATAGCATAGGAAGAAGTGCCAGAGCAGCTAATGAATTTAAGGGTCCGGGATATCTAGAGAAATGGGACGGGATAGCTTATACATCAGATAGAGAACTACTTGAGCACTGATACACAGCTACGCTTGAGGGCAGTGGTGCTAGATGATATAACAGGAGCCAAAGATCGAAGATCATGGGGTGAGAATCAGAACGAGAACTTCACAGTGAAGTCAGCTTATACTCTGTTGACAAAGAATCATTCCCCGACACAAAATATGGAGACTTTGTATACCAGGATCTGGCAAGTAATAGCACCAGAGAGAGTAAGGGTGTTTCTATTACTCGTAGTGCATCAAGTACTCATGACAAATGTGGAGCGCCAACACCGTCATCTGAGCGATACAGGAGTATGCCAAGTTTGTAGAGGGGGAGAGGAAACTATACTACATGTGCTTCCTGACTTTCCTGCAATGGCAGGAATATGGCAACGCATAGTCCCCCCGAGAAAACAGCAATGTTTTTTTGCTATGACATTGTTGGAATGGATTCACAGGAACCTCGGAGACTTAGAAGTGTCAGGAAGTAGTAACTGGGCTACGGTGTTTGCAATGGGTGTATGGTGGGGATGGAAATAGCGTTGCGAGAATATCTTTGGCTCAATAAGGAAGTGCCGAGATAGAGTACGTTTTCTGAAGGTGTCCTCAGCTCATGCAAAGATTAGAGGAAACTCAAATAATGAGCAAAGGATACAGATTGGGATATAATGGAAGCCACCATCAAGCGGATGGGTGAAGCTAAATACAGACGGTGCAGTTTGCGGAAACACGGACTTCGCAACAGCTGGGGGAGTGTTACGAGATGAAAGAGGTGATTGGTGTGGTGGCTTTGCACTGAATATAGGTATCTGTTATGTCCCTCTAGCTGAACTTTGGGAGTATATTACGGGTTATATATTGCTTGGGAAAACAGTATCACTCGCTTAGAGATTGAGGTAGACTCGGAAATGGTTGCTGGTTTTTTTACGATAGGGATAAGTGATGGACATCCACTATCTTTCCTAGTACATTTGTGCTATGACTTCATCTCAAGGGACTGGGTAGTCCGAATAAAACACATTTATAGGGAGAAAAACTAGCTAGCAGATAGTTTGGCAAACTATGCCTTTTCCTTACCTTTGGGTTTTCTTTATTTAGAAGCACCACCGGCTAGTGTGGCTCATGTTGTTTTAGCTGATGTTGTTGGAGAAACAAGAGTACGCTCTGTTCCTCAGATGTAACTCGATTTTTCATTGAATAATACTTGAGAGACTTTGGTCTCTCGACTTCAACCAAAAAAAAATTAACCTTCCATTTTACCACTTTTGAAATTAACCAGTTTCTCTCACTTATATCATTATCAGTTCTATTTATTCACGAAAATGCTAGTAGATTATTGTTTTTTTTTTATTTCTGAAATCTATTTTACCAAACAATCCTCATCTTCCTCACTTATTCACGAAAATGTCATCACCATCAATTCAATCAACCACCATTTTCAACCAATTCGAAGCTTTTATTGCTTCAAAGACCCATTTTTTAGCTTTGTAACCTCATTTCCTCTTCTCTTAACCTTCTACTCTTCCATTTTTTTACCATTTTCAGCACAAAAAATCTCTATTCTAAGTTTTTGAAACTTGATGTTCTAATATATTGCCATATTTAGTGATTTGGTCTGGCAGATCGATTGGGCTTGTTTGGTGGTGGCTGGAATCAAAGAAATCGGTGGTTGAATAAGCTAAATATCAGTGATAGGTGATTTATCAGTTAATTTTCGTGAGTTTTCAGATATGTGCCGTGAAAGTAGACTTCTTAAGAAGTCTACTTTCGGTAGTAGACTTCAGAAGAAGTCTGCTGGTCAACACACATGTTAGTTTTGCAATTGACCGTGTGTACCAATTTCTGACAGTAGACTTCAGTTGAAGTCTGCGCCATTTCCTTTGACAACAAAAAAAAAAGTGTAAACTTCAAAAGAAGTCTACGTAAAAAAGGGTTAGTTTTGCAGTTGACCAACCTTTGACTTTTTCGTAAGAAGTCTACTTCTTCGGAGAAGTCTACTTTCAAGTAGACTTCTTAGAGGTTAGTTTTGCAATTGACTAATGTTGACTTTTTCGAGTAGACTTTGCTTGAAGTCTACTTTTCTGAGTAGACTTTGTTTGAAGTCTACTTTCTGAGTAGACTTCAAACAAAGTCTACTCGAAAAATAATTTAATGTTTTGTCAACCCCAAAAGTAACCCAAGACTTCGTTTGAAGTCTACGTTTGAAGTCTACTTTGAAAGTCAACATTGGTCAATTGAATATGTAATAATAAACCCAGATTTACAATATGAACACAAAACAAACAATAAAAGAAACACAAAACCTCAGATTTGCTTACCATCACCATAACTGAGATAGAGAGGATGGAGGATAAAGATGGGTTTGATAGCAAGAGAGGAAGGAGAAGGGATTCATGGCCAGAGAGGAGGTAGAGGAGAGAGAGGCATTTTTAGAGGGAGAGAAAAACTTTATTTTTAACCCAATTAGGTTAATCTCCTTATATATGTAGGAAACTTTTTGGTTAAGTATACTTCTTAAGAAGTCTACCGAAGAATTCTACTCGAAAAGTCTACTTCAGTATATTTTTTTGATTTCGATTTCCGTCCAATTTGTTCTGATTCCTGTCCAATTTGTTCCGATTCCCTCCCAATTTGTTAAAAAATTTTGATTTCCCGCTACGTTTTTTTTAAGTCTACTGAAGAAGTCTACCCAGAAGTCTACTGCATACGTTTGTTTACCCTAAACCCTAAATTAAATATTTTTGATATTAAACTTGTATTAAAACATTAATTTTCTTACCATTTTCACATTTTAAAGTTCAAATAACAATGATATGGACTCTAAATCATTAACCAAACCATAAACTATAATTCTTATAGAATTTGGGTTTACCCTAACAATACCTTAAACTTTACATCTCAAACTCTAACCCTTTTGAACTTTAAACCCTAACCCTTTTCAACCTTATACTTATGAAACTTATAAATTGGTTTATTTTCATGAATTTTATTTAATATAGATGCCAGTTGTCTATGCTTTGGTTATGTTTATAATTTTTGTATCGTAATATTTTTTATAATTTTAGTAAAAAAAAAATTAAAATTTAATTATGTAGTAGACTTCTATAGTAGACTTCTAAAGGGTTGTATGTTTTCTAGTTAATTTTTCTTTTTGTATTTAAATTGATTCATTTGTATAAAATTTTATATTCTATACATGTCAAATATATATGTCTTACTTATGTTTACCAATTTTTTAGATATTTATTTATTTTATATTTTCTAATTAATTTTTAAAAAAATAATTATGTAGTAGACTTCATTAATAGTCTACAAAAATAGACTTCTTTACGTAGACTTCCCGAAGGATAGTATCGTAACTGTGGCAGATCTTTTTGTTTAGTCACAAAGGATTGAGCTGTAATTTTACTACCCCTTTGGGTTAGTTTTGTCAAACATTTAATAAGAAGTCTACATATTGAGAAAAAATCAAATTTTAGGTTATAAAGAATAATTTTTCTTTTTGTATTTAAATTGATTTATTTGTATAAAATTTTATATTCTATACATGTCAAATATATATGTCTTACTTATGTTTACCAATTTTTTAGATATTTATTTAT